AAAAAAACATCGAGATGTGCGTGCATGCTGGTGAGTGGTGGTGGGACATGGGCCTCAAAATGCGGTAATCCCAATCTACAGTGTTGTTCTAGCATGTAAGAACTCATATCAGAACCGTCAGTTGGACACATACGCCTCAGGTAGGGTCAAACTGTGAGAATATATAGAGAACAAATGATGGTCAAACTTTTGCGCAAATCATCAACACTTGCAACCTCGATGTACAGTAACAATATCCGTGGTGCTTCATGCGCGACTGGTCTTGCATCATAGTGGATTTCCCCAAACTTCCGCAAGCTGAGCGAAGTGCTGTCCCCAAACCTCCGACCCAGTAATCTTAAGCTCTGAACTCACGCTCACAGTGCGCTGGACAAACCTTACTTGGTGATGGGTGAACGATGGACTTGTGGTGGCTTTGGAGGCTTTCAGGGCATGCCATGCTGGCAAATATGGGCAGTGCGTTGTTTGATGCATATTCCACTTGCTTGCCTCAGTCAACCTGTTCTTTCACCATCATGTGGGATTGTTTCATTTTGTTGCAATAAAAATATAATCCTTGGCCGCTATTTTCCGGATGCCTCTCTGAATCATCCAAGATTTTACTTCTGCGGATTCAGTGGATTTCCATCAACATCTCAGGGATGAATCTTGACAGATTCGTCGAACTGCAGGTCCAAAGTGGGAGCTTCTGCCCACAGTCGGAACCCTCAAACTTGAAAACCAACTTCTGAACACTTGCCGTAGTTCGCTGGTCTTGCCAATGCTTTCTGGAAATTAAAGGAAGCAAGACTCAAAATAACACATAACGCATGTCACATGTCACCAATTGTCCCCTCACCAAGTGTCCCCTGGCTGGTCTGAAGGACGCTGAAGTGGACACTCGAATGCAATCACCCCCTTCGCTGCCTTCCTTGTTGTCCACTTTCCGACTGACTTCGCGGCAGGGACAACTCTGATTGAATGGCTAAGTCAGCTGAGTTCAGTCTTGAGAAGCTGAGGCTCAAGCCCAAGCTGGATCCCCTTTCAACCAATTCAAGCCTTAAACATCCGTAAACATGTTTAACATCACTTCAACACCTACACCGAACCCCCCCGACCTTAGCACCATCTGCATCTGTCTCAACCCCCCTCAACGCCAACACATCTGTCCCGTTTGGTCCCGGGCCACACGCGCCATGTGGCCCTGCCACCGGAGGTCATGTCCCGTGGACTGACACGAGAGCACCCTGTCGAGCAAACAGCCACACGATGGCGACGGCAGCTCTGACGGGCTGCAGATGAAGAAAGCGGTGCCGCCAGTATGGGGAGAGCGGTTTGGATGCCATTTGGGTCGGAAAGTCTGGAACTTGAAGGGGGCTCAAGTGAAAACCTTCGGTGCTCCATCGACAAATCATCTGGCTTCTTAGTGGTCCAGTGATTAAAGCACATAAAAACTAGACGACGAGTGGCCCGAAAGCATTTTTCATCACGTAGGAAATCAGAGTGCGAGTTATCCGGTAAGTGTGTAGTGAGAAGTGTTAAGTCGAGTGAGTTGAGGTAGTGTGTGGGTTTCTGTGCGTGTGTCCATGTCCGTGTGGAAAGGAGTCTGCGTATGTGTGCGTTCGTGGAAGTTGAGGGAGTGTGTGGGTGTTTGTGTGCGATGCGGCCTCCCAAACCCCCCACCGGCGGCCAAGCGGTGACAGCCCAGCTCATCGTCGTGAGCATTTGGGCTGCTGGTAAGGGGACAATGGC